ACAGACGGTCAGTAAATACAACTCTCAGTACCACAAACTGTTCCAGATCGTCCCCCCAGAGGAGATCCTGATGAAAGGTTCAGTCTTTACTGTTGTTTCCAGACGTGCATGAAAACATTTTGATTCGAGAGTCAGTCCAGGTAACATGTCTTCTTCTTCTTCTTCTTCTTCTTCTACTTCTGCTTCTGTTCTTCTTCTGCTTTTTCTTCTTCCTCCTCTTCTGCTACTTCTCTTTCTTCTTCGTCTAACCCTAACCCTCTGCTTCTTCTTCCTCCTCCTCTGCTTCTTTTTCTTCTTCCTCTTCTCCTCCCTCCTCTTCTTCCTCACCCCCTCACCCTGCAGTGTACTCGTGTGCGTTGTTGAGAGACATCCTGCTGCAGGGGCGACTCTACATCTCCAGGAACTGGTTGTGTTTCTATGCGAACCTGTTTGGTAAAGACATCAAGGTGAGAAGACGGTTTCACTTCATCCCTCGTTCTTCGTCCACACGGAGTCAGATGAGCTTCTCTCTTGTGATTGGTCAACCATTAGAAAAGTCACACCTCTTACCCAGAGGCTTCCTGGTTGTTGAGCTTGTTTCATGGTGACACAGATGTGTTACAGGAAAGTGTGAACTTCACAAGTTCACACTAACACAAACTAAACCTGACATTCAATCTTACAGAGACAGATTCACGAAGGTCTGGTCCTCATCTGTCCCTCACACATGATCCCTGAGCGTCTTCCTGGATGTTTGTGTCTGTTTCACATATTTGTTGACTCAGTTGTTGGTTCAGGTTAAAGGTCAAAGGTCAGCGCACACACGTTCCTCTGTTCTGCTCCTGCAGGTTTGTATTCCCGTGGTTTCAGTTCGTCTGGTGAAGAAGCACAAAACCGCCGGTCTGGTGCCGAACGGACTCGCCATCACCATGGACACTGGACAGAAGGTAACGGGAGGAACGTTCGGATTCCTCTGAACTTCAAAACAAATCAACAGCTGTCGCTTCGGATGAGTTGATCTAACGTTTCAACACGTTATTAGCTTTACAAGCTAAGTTCGCTAAGTCAGCTCATTTACATATTTATAGATCAGCGAATACTCAATGAGACAAAATGTTTATATACAACAAACTTCTATATATTTAATCAGATGAGTTTCAGGATTGAATTTAATACATGAAAAACAGAAACTGTACACTGACCTGCATGTTGTCTGTCTGTCTGTCTGTCTGTCTGTCTGTCTGTCTGTCTGTCTGCAGTATGTCTTTGTGTCCCTGCTGTCCAGAGACAGTGTCTATGACGTCCTGCGGAGGATCTGCACTCACCTGCAGGTCAGTGAGGATCACACTCCCTGCACAGACAGACATGCAGACGCAGTACAGACAGACTGACAGATGCAGTACAGACAGTCAGACTGACAGACACAGACAGACACAGTACAGACAGACAGACA